CGTCGTTCGTTCTTGGACTTGAACCTTTCATAGGGAATTATTTATAAGGAAATTTAAAATATCTTTGTTCGTTTTACGTAAACAGACAATGGTGTGAAATAGTAGTATCGACAAATGCGAATCCTAGGATAGGATTTTTCGAATGTGTAGAAAGTTGAACAGCATTCGAAACTGCATACGGAATAAGAGGAATGGAAGAGGTTCGTATACGCGTAATTATATATTTGTTTTCGTAATAAGTATACGAAGTAATGATTTTTAAGTTTTTCCATGAAACAATCGAAACCACCATCGTCTCTTCGAAACGTAAATACGCTCGAGAAAAGGCGAAGGAGGGGAGAGTTGCGTGCAATGGATCTATTGGCGCGTTAATCGCGCTTGAATAATCGAAACGTGGCATCGCTCTTTTAAAATGTCTCTCGTTTAAACCCTCTCTCCCTCCCTCTCCGATCTTAATCGAATCCGATCCGCGAATTTTCCAATTTCCAACGCCTCCCCTTCCTTCGAAAATCGGCTCGGGACAATTCATTTTCGAACGAGCAATTGGACAATTCGTTGAATTTTCTTCGAGATAATCAATTTGTTCGGCAGGGTGAAGGGACGACGACGACGACGACGACGACGACGACGACGACGACGACGCACAGTTCGATACAGTTATCGCGCTGCTGCTATATAGTTGTATGCAATCGGAAGCACGGATAATGCTCGAGCGAGCGGCATGAATTATTAAGGATTTTAGCTGTGTATCGCCGGAAGAGAAGGGTTCTCGGTGATCGTAAGAATATCTAACCTCGACGTGGCTCCTTCTATTATTCAACGGCTGTCATCCCCGTGTTGGGGTGGAACGCGCTACAAGAAAGCTTGAAAGCCCGATCGTACCACTTATTTCCGATCGCTTGGCCCCGCGCCTCCCTTCCATTCCCTCCCCCCTTTCTCTTTCTATATTTTTTCTTTTCCCCCACAGATTTCCACCGAAGCAAGGAACGAACGCGTTCATCCCGGCGATTTCCATCAATTATCTCGACCAATATATACATATATATATATATATTTAATCCCCCCCCTTTCATTCGATGGCAACGAGATGCGACGAGAAAGAACGCCATTCGTCGCTTCGTCGGTCTTCTTGATCGAGGAGCAGCGAGGAATTAACAGAAGAAGAGAGAGAGAGAGTGAGAGAGAGAAAGAGAGAAAAAAGAAATAGAAGAAAGATCCTACGACGGTTAAGAGGTAACTGCTTAAATAGGGGCCTTTGTTCCGCCGGGACCTTAAATCGTACCCTTTTTTCGAGCCACGCGGTGTTTACATTTCGTCTGCCCGCCATTTCCTCGGCCAAGCCCCCACACGCTTGCAGCTACAATTACCACGGATAAGTCGTAGACGTTGGAAACCGATCGATAAAACTGCGAGAAAGAAATCTCGCGATTATAAAATTAATCCTTCTCCTGGAGGATGGAGAAGAAGGATCGATGCCCCCCTCCCTCACCTCTCCGCTCGATAACCGTTCGCGATTGATATTCAATCGATGGCACGTAAGAGGATTATTAAGGGTGTGTATCGGGCGGAGGCAGCCGTGTGGAGCTGGAATGTCGTCGAATATACATCAACAAGGGTTTATCGTGTGAATCTGTCCCGCAAAGAGGTTTCTTTTCTTAAAGATCGAAATCCTTGATAATTGATCCAAGTGGAAATCGTTGGAAATCGAGATTTATCAATACGGCATAGGATCCCGTCTAACGGCGGGGATCTATTCTCGAATCGAGTCGAATCGCAGAACAGAAATAGATAAACGTTCCGTTCGCGTTGCTCCTATTTTAAATCCCTCTGTCTCTTCGAATTTTTCCACCCTTTCGTTTCGAGGGATCGAAGTATTCGTGGCTTGGTTCGATCGAGCGAGGAAGAAGAAATTGACGAAAGATTCACGAGAGACAGAGAGAGAGAGAGGAAGAGAAGGGTTTCGTCGAGATTGTTTGTCGTGGTATCGGGATCGCCAACAGAGGCAGCGAGTGTTAAGGGTCGACTGGCCTCCCAACCCACTCCCCCTCCAATCGATAATATACGATCCTGCATGATTCTGCTTCGCGTATCACAATGACCCTCTGGGCAACCTATTCTACGACCCAGCAACCTACCACCGATCTACCTGGTCCCTGAGCTTGCGGCTCAGATAATGAGTGATTAGGTAATTAGTTGTCCAATATTCGAGCCATCCTCGTTTCCATCTCTATCTATCTATCTATCTATCTCTCTCGCCTTCTGTGCCGAATCGAACACTTCACTTTTCCAAGCTTTTCGAAAGATATTGTGAAAGTTATTTGAAAAGTGAGGTTTGAAATCAATTTCAATTCTAACACTCTTTGAGAATGGAATAAAGGGCAAGCAGTTCCTGATTCAAGTCTCCGGTTACCATTGCCGCACGAACAATTTGGATCGAGCCCGCCTCCCTGATGGAGGAGCAGCAACTCTAATGATCGGCTTTGCGGCAATTAATAATATCGAAATGATTATCGATCGACTTCGAACGAAATGCGATATATACGATTCTAGGGGGGGGGGGAAATTCCAATTCTTCTCTTCTTTTCAATCTCGCAAAATACCCTCTTCTCTCTCTTTTGAATATATATACACATACATGAGAAACAACGTTGCGAAATGCTTGGCTTGGAATTAATGGAAATGTATTTTGCGCCTCTATAATACTTCTCATACAATATTAATTATTATAATACATATTTATTTATTTTATTATTATACACTAGAAACACCGTAAAAGGGCCTGAATGCATAAACGAGATACCCCCGCCGTTAAACAACGGAGTGATCAATTATTAAAAAACAAATTCTTGGCGAGAAGGAGAGAGAGAGAGAGAGAGAGAGAGAGAACGGAGAGACTCGAGAAAATCGAATTAATATTCGGGATAATATCGATCTGCAGGGACGAGGGGTCGCTCTCGTCCCCCCTCCCCCAAAAAAGAAAAAGCGGCGGTATCCCTTCGACCGGGTATCACCACGCAACGCCAAGCCCTGCCCCCTTTATAAATATAACAATTAAACGTATGAGGGTCACGGAACGACGGAGATGGGGAAGAAGAGGGGAGAGAGAGAGAGAAAGGGAGAGAACGATACGATACTTTTGAAACGATGATCAACTATATCATATATATATATATATATAGGAAAAGACGACCAAATTTTTTAATTCGAGTATATTTTCATATTTCTCGAAACCAAATCTTTTCACCAAGAGAGAGAGAGAGAGAGAGAGAGAGAGAAGAGGAGAGCGCGATAAATAATAAAGATTGGAAGGAAGGAATCGTGTGGATAAAATTCGTTTTTCACCGCGAGAACGGGTACGAGAGGATACGAGAAGAGGGCGAGGGAAATTAGATTAAATTAGATTGAATAAAGTTAAATTGAATGAAATTACCGTCGAACTGGTCGGGTATCCGAGAGAGAGAGAGAGAGAGAGAGAGAGAGAAGAGTGGATCGTACGCCGAAGAGGAGGAGATCGTATGCGAAGAAGCGTCGACGACGAGGACGAGGACGACGTTCGAAAGAAAGAAAATCGAGGAGGAATGTGGGCGAGCGGGTTAATTCGCGGGACGAATTAAACGCGCGCGAGTTAACACGCGCGACAGAATCGTCGGTCGTAACCGTTTAAACGGCCGCGGTTGGATAAATTGTTGTATTAGTCACGGCAAGTTTATATTAATACGTTCCTTCTGTGTGTTCCCTCTTCGAAATTCCGCTTCGAGCCGCTTGTTAACGACCGATGTTTACCACGCTTCGAGAGGGATATTTAACCCTTTCGCTACCACGATGCCGCTCATGTTGTGATCCGGGCATCTTTCGTCAATTTTTCTTTTTCAACGAACGAAAATCGAAGCATTCTCTTTCTCCTTTCTTGGGGAAGCGAAGAAGAGAGTTCGTTAAGAGCGTCGAAACGGTGTGAACGATCGAGACGTATTCCGCATAATCGGGGAGAAAAGGATTCGAATGGAATATCAATCGAATTACGGATCGAATAATTTTAAGATTGCGGGAGAAACATCTCGGTCCTCTACTTTTGCGAATATAATCGTAAAATATATGTGATGCGCGCGAGCGAAGACACGAGAATTCTCTTTCATTCGAGGTAAGGAATTCGAGTATAAAATATATGCATCCCTAAGGTGATAATACTATTATTATAATTCAATATTGTAAAAATTGATATATTTTAGAATCGATCGTTCGAACAATGCCGTACGACAGACGTAAGCTGCACGTCTTATGGGAGCGTTACCATGGAATATTGCAAATAAAACAAGAATGAACACCGCCTCGTATTTCGTTTCATGATTCTGCGAATCAACACGTTTTCCTTCACGTCAATTCTGCGGCAACAGGCTGTTTCAGCCGACACGGGCGGATAATCGATGGATATTTACATTGATTTTCCACGGGCAGGGGAAGATTTTTCCCCTCCCCTCCCTTAAAATTGCAGCGACAAATCCGACAGCTTACCTGTAGATTACGAGATTTGGAGCGTCGTCGATACCGTTGATAGCGGAGCTCGCGTTACCTCCGTGACAGCCACATTGCTCTTCTCGAACTCCATATCGGAACACGATATATCTCTGCTCCCTGCTCTGGATATTTTGTTGGCTGGACGATCTACGGGATGTGAAAAAAATACGGGGGAGGTGAATTCGTCGTAAGATGAAAATGAAAATAAATTATTCGTGACTCTTCGTTTTGACTAAGGGGGAGGGGGGGGTGGGGGGAAAATTGTTCTCGTTGGCTTCACTATATATTTATAGAAAGATCAAGACAACAAATTCGTGCATTTTTTGAACAGAGATATAAATACAATATGTAATAACAAGTGGAAGCAAATACGAGGAAAAAAATTATCACTCTCGTTCCCATTCTCGTTCTCAATTCCAACGGAGAGAAAGAAGGAATCGAAGGATCGAAGATCTTCGAATCGAAGGAGAAGAAAAAGAGGAAAGAGAAACGAAAGGAAATTTAAGGTATTTTCAAGATTTTTAGTAGAAGGAAGAGGAGGGGAAAGCGGAGAGGCGAGTTGGCGGGAAGAAACAAGGAGGGTGCGGGGGTAGCAATGGTTACAGCAGAATAAACTCCTCAATAATGAGTTCCGCGAGTGAATTCCCCCGGCACCGGAGAGAGAGGCTCGAGATAATAAAACAGAGCGACTGGGACGCGCAACCGGGCCGTTGGTGGTGGTTGCGATAGTATTGGTCGGCGAGGGGTTGGCGGAGGGGGTTGCGCGCCGGCAAGAGTAATAGTAAGAGGCAATAAAATATAATGAAATAACATCCAATCCAGGAGAGATATTGTGAAAATATTATTACTAACTTATTACTTGCTGGGCGCACCGCCACACCACGGTGCTCTCTCTCTCTCTCCTTCGCGTTTTTCCCTCCCTCCTTTTTTTCCCTCCTTTTTTCTCCGCTCGGCCCCTTCGCGCACGCATACCCCCCCCCCTCTCTCTCTTCTCTCCCTATTCCTTCATCATCCCCCTTTCGCTTCACCTTCCTCCATCCACGTCCTCCTCCACACCCTTCCTTCGACCAGACCCTTCCCTCCCGCCCCGATAAAAATTTCCATTTAACGTCGAACACGGGAATAGGTTAAAGGTGGATACTACGCCTAATATGGCGCGGCTCGAAAAGTTGGAGTACGTTTAACCGTTTCCTTCGTTTCCGCCGCCGCCAAAAATCGATTTGTTTTTTTTTTTTTTAACGGTGTTGCTTCCCGAAATCAATAACTTTCTCGACCGAATTCGAGAAGAATTCGTGGTTTCGTTTTTAAGATTGAGATGATTTGGAAGAACGACAATCGTTCAACTCATCGTCAGAGTCATCATCATCCCCATCATCCCCTGAAAATTGATTGATGCAACGAAATATATCCTTTCCCTTTTTTAACCCACGCCGGAATACTATATACTATATTTATACAAACTCTATCGCAGAATAAAATCAAGAAACATGAAACGATTAAAAAAATTATCTCGAGCCACCATCCCCCGAAAACGAAGGAAGAAATAGAAATAGAAATACGCAGAAACACCGTGGGGAGAATGAATCGACGAGTCGATTTGACGGAAGCGGCCTGGAACGTATGCCCGGATGGATGAACGCCAGGAGGAGTCGCGATCGGGAGTCCGACCGGCGTTATTTGAAATGCAAAGTACACGCTAAGCGGATTATCTGACAGGAAAGATCGGCCGACCGGGCGGAGAAAAAGAAGAAAGAAGAAAGAAAGAAAGAAGAAAGAGAGAGAGAGAGAGGGAGGGAGAAAAAGAAGAACGCGATTACGAGGCGAGATATCGCCGGGGAGATCGCAGCCGGTGACGACAGACGGTTATATAAAAGGCACGAGCAGAGAAGAGAAGAGTGTATAACGTTGCACACTTCTGTATCCTGTTGTATCGCAACCGCGGTGGGCGGCGGTATATTCGACTACCGGGGAGGAGGAGAGAGAGGAGGAGGAGAAGGAGGAACGAACCGGTGGCGTTAAAGGAAGAGGGTATTAGCGGCCTAGCTGGGGGAGGGCGGAAGAGGAGATGCCAGGCCGGCAACAATCCTATCTGACCGTGTAAATCTCCCGCTCGTTGTAACGAAGCGGCAAATCGAAACTAAACGGCGGACCGTGAATGAATGAGGGGGAGGGGGGGAAATCAGAAAATAACGCGAGGCCGCGCACTTCCGGAGGAGGGAGGGGAAAAATTTTCTCGAAAGTCTCTCGATCGTTCGATGTTCGGTGGAACGAACGATCGAGGAAATTTCATTCACGTGTTTTTTCGGGATACATTACGTTCTTCGATCTTTCTTTCCCTTCCATTTCAATCAACCTTTTCGTTGCAGATATATTACACTCTTCGAAGATATAAATGATATCTCTTTATTTCGAGATATGTTTCGTCACGCTCGAATCATCGACTCCTCTTTAACGTAACCGTTATCAAGCGTAAGTTAAATGTAAGTTCGACATGAATTTTAAAACTGTCCCCCTTGTCGACTCGCGAAAGGAATCGACAGATGCAGATTTTTAAACGACGTTCTTTTACGTCGTTCTTAATAATCGTTCGATGCACCGAACGAACCACATCCCTCTTCCCAAATTCTCGATCCGAAAATTTTTCTCATCACCTTAAATTTGATCGCGTCGAACGAGTCAGTTACGCGATCGCGAAAAATATGATCGCATTTGATCGCGAGCGAAGAGGAGGAGGGAAGAAGCGGGTCAGGAGGAGGAGGAGGATCGCTCGTTTCGGAAAATTTCGTTCGGGAGCGGCTCGAACGGCGATGCCCATTATTCCGCGGTTTACGCGGTTCTCGTGGCAATTTGCGAAGAGTGGAACGATTCGCCGGGACAGGTCCGCTTATATAAATAATATATCGTTATGCGAAAGAGCGCATAGGGGGAGGGGGAGGGGAGGCGAGACGTATCCGATGCACGTGTCTTTGCATCGTGTGTTACGTAAGTGCATCGTACGTACACAATGACAGGTTACGTACAGGTGTATGGGTACGTATACGGATGGGGGGAACAGACGCGCGAAGGAAAGGAAGGAAATCGGTATATGGACACAGACGGTGATGGTTGTGGTGGTGGTGGTGGTGGTGGTGGTATAATGTCTTTATCGTTATAACCGGTATTCCATGCGACGTACGAATTAAATAAGATCCTCTCGTGACGTTGCGCTTCCGTTTATTAGAGAAATTGACAATTCCGCCGAGCGGAAAGAATAATATATAATATCTTTATATCGTGTTCGCATCGCGTGATGCTTCTTTTTTTTTTTTTTAATATAATAAAATCGAGATTCGAGTGGAAAATAATTAACGTAGCCTCTTCATTTTCTTCGTTTACGAGGCTACGTTTCCGTTATTAACCTACCGGTCGCATCGCTTCGACCAGCAGAGAAAATTTGCATACCTAAATGTTCGTTAATGTATCCGCCTCGCTTTCGAGCACCGTCCATTCACGCCCCGATTCCTTTTAAAATCGAAGCCGATCGAGAAAAATAATCCGAGGAGAAGATTTTTCCATAGTTACTAGAAACGTATGTACTTTCACTTTTACGAACCGATAATCTCTCTAAACTCCCCCCTCCCCTCTGTTTCGCAAACGAATACATTGTCGGAGGAATATTTGGAATGTTGAAAAAAGAGAAGAGAAGAGAAGAGAAGAGAAAAGAAGAAAAGGAAAATTTAGCATATATCTACGTGACGAATCAAGGAACGCATAATAACTCTCTCACGTGTCTGCGAACGTGATTCTCCGCCGGATTCTCTTTCTCTTTCCCGTTCCCCGTTAGCCGGGATAGCTCCTTTTCTCTCTTTATTCGCCTCCTCGATCGTTCTCGCCCGATCGGTTTAAATTGTAAATGTATCGCGTATGCACAACTCTCGGGAGATCTCGAGGAGAGAAGGTTGGCGCGCGAAAGGAATTGGACGTGGCGCGTTAGAATGCGTGCGGCCATTCTCCTTCTCCTTTTCTTCCTTTTTTCGCAGGTGGACGAGCGTATGAATAAAATACAGTATCCGGCCGAAGATTTGCGCGACTCGACTCGACTCGACACGGTTGCTCGTCGAGTATTTGCATCCGCATTACGACGAGACCGTGTATACACCGCCGGCTTGCGTAATATTATAATCAGCCTCGGGAAAATAAATAACTATGGCGTCTACACGGTCACTTCTCTTCGCCCCTCTCACTGTTTTTACCTATTCGCTAGATAACTATCTTTCCGCTTCCTGTTGCCGTATCGCGTACACACACGCGCGTGTATGTGTGTGTACCGTACATTACGTGGAAACGGCAGTTAGCCGAGAAACAACGAACTGTTTCCAAATAGTCTCCCGATATTATTATTATTATTATTATTATTACAACCATTATTCCTTTTTATTAACGTGTAACGAGAGTTACAAAAATGATCGATGGAGGGGAGAATTGAATCTCTGGTCGAGAGATTCGTACACTCGCGAATAATGCAAATTTGCGAAAGGGGAAAGCAAATTTTTTTCTTTTCCTTCCCTTTCATCGAAATTTTCTCCAGAAACTTTACATCTCTCTCCACGATGCCACCGTGGAGACCGTGTATCCGGCTTCTCACCTCGCCGGCCGAGAATTAACGCAAATTATTTCCGCGCGAAAGAGTTCGGAAGTCGTAAAAAAAATGGTGGCACGATCCCGTGAAATTTTTCGTCCTCGAAAGAAGGAAAAAAAAAAAAAAATAGGAAAAAAAATCCAGTCCGGTCGATTGGCAGAAAATTCCATTATTCCCCCGACGAGACGGCCGATAATTTCGAAAATTTCTTATCGCAAGGCGAGCAATCGGTTTGTTCTCGACGCGCTTCTTCGAGATGAAAAAGAGAAAGAAAAAAAAGAGAAAAGATCTAAAAAAAAAAATTCGCCTTAAGGCGGCGCCTCAACAACGACAACAACAGATGATAAACCACCCTCCACAAGGCTTAGCCTCCTCCTCCTCCTCCTCCCTTGTATTCATTTCTCCGCTCGTTTCATCCGATTCTCTCTTCCTCCGCGTTGATATCCGTGATCCGTGCATAGAAACAGAGAGACCGAGAGGGAGAGAGAGGGAGGGAAAGAGAGGGAGAGACAGAGTGGAGGGGGATCGGCAGG